GTTTCTTAAGCGGTACTAAAGCCTACAAAGAAAAAATACCAATGTTCCTCTCCCTCCCGAACCAGTTGTTACCCGATGGGGGACATGGATAGAAGCTGTACTGTTTTACAATGAACATTTTCAGGCCATCAAAGGTGTAGTAAATGACTTTGACAGTGCCGAGTCAAGAGCAATTTGTGAGTCACAGACAGCTTTTAACGATTCTATCATAAAAAAATACATAGCTATAATTTGCACCAATTTTTCTCACATACCCGAAAGTAATAAAAAGCTTGAAACTCGCGGTTTGGCATTGAATGAATCTATTCAAACAATGAATAAAATCCGCTATCTTAACTCCACGTTGCCAAGTAGGTTGCCGCATAAACTCAAAGAAAAGTTTGAAAACATTTTGAACAATAATTCAGGCTTTGAACATCTGTGTCAAATTGATAGCTTTATTAATGGACCGACGCAAGTTTTGCCAGAAAATATAAGCGCTAACATAGCACCCAAGTTCAAATTCTGCCCAGTTACCTTAGTAGATGTGGAGCGATCATTTTCGACCTACAAAAATATTTTGAATGATCGAAGACATAATCTTACCCTGCGATTCTGTAAAAATCCAGACCCGAATTCGAATTCACTCATGTGTCCGAATTCACGTCATTTAGTGTAAAAATTCTATTGATTCCATTTTTTTGTATAAAAATACAAAACAAAATTAATTGAATATACGTGTCTTAGATATTCTATTTCAAAGTCATTTCGAAACTCACTTCACTTATGCTACGAAATGTTATTACCAATTCAAGGTTGAGCGTATGCCTCTTTTTGAAGTCAATTCGGACACCTGAGAGAATTCGAATTCGGGTTTGGAGTTTTACAGAATCGCAGGGCTGATCATGAATTTTTTTTCCTGCGGAAAGCTTAATAATACGCGGGCGAATTAAGCTAATAATTTAAATAAGCGGCCACTCAGCTAGTTATATAAACAAAGATCTACTCACCTTTATATTCAAAGTCAGACCAACCATATGGTGAGTTAATGTACAAATAATGGGATAAGATATTTTCACCCATGTTTATTAATTTCCCTATGTTTTCATTTTGTTGCTTGTTTAATTTAGTTGTGTAGTCCAAAAGCGTCCTTTTCAAGATTGCTAAATAATGAAAAATTGGTTTTCATAAAAAAAATGCCATGTGGCTCGACTCGAGGTCCCGGTCAATGTAGAAAATGATTTTTTTTATATTGTCTCGAGCCTGTGTGTTGTTTCAGATTTCCAAAATATAAGTGCTTTTAGCAACTTAGTTTGGTATCTGAGCAATATATGTGATGTGATATTTAAATATAGGAACTCTATACAGTCAAGATTACAGTACGATTGAAGCAGTGTTCATTTTTGACGGTGTGCGGCTATTGAAGGTGTAATATCATAGTCTAACGGCCTGGGGGCCAATTCTACTAAATAAATTTTGTTTGAATCGAATCGAAAAGGGATCGAAACCGAACGAAACTACAGTTTTTAATGGTTTTCTATTCTACTAAGTGACATACGATACAATTCCCGCTAAAATCAGTTCTATTTTGTAACGTATGTCTACGTTTAAGATAGCTTAAGTACAGTTTGAGAAGTGCTATCTTTGAATACTCTCTGTAGTACAAAAAAGTAACAAATGCTTGAAGAATTCGTCAGGTCCTGTTAGGTCCTAGGTAGCTCAGTTGTTAGAGTAGTCGCCTGCATTGCGAAAGATCGTGGGTTCGACTACCGGGGGCAAAGTGGAGCATTTTCCATTATGAATATTTTACAATATTACATCGTGAATGCAAAATTGGTCAAGTATAACAACAATAGATTATTTTAGAATCTGTACTTTTGTTTTGTCTTCGAAATATTTTAACAAACTTTTAATTATGGAGTGATTTTAAGACGTCTTATTATTTATTTATGAAATTTAGAAACCGGGTGATAGAATACATCGTGAGTAATATATGAATCCTATCATATTAATATTATAAATTAATTATATAAATTAAAGCTTTTTGAATGCTCTGTATACCTTCACCGGTTTGACTAGTAGAGAATGCCGTTTTGGCATTAAGTCCGCCATTTGCCATTTTATAGGCATAAAGATTAAATAAATAAATGTGAAAGTTTTTTTGTTTGGGTGTTTTTCCGTCAATCGCACCGAAACTACTGAACGGATTTTGATGAAATTTGGTATACAGATAGGGTATTAGCTGACTTAGATAACATGATACTTTTTATCCCACTAAACGTTTCCCTAGGGACCATGCGGGCGAAGTTGCTGCCGAAAGCTATTCATTTAGTAAAATTTATAACCTTAAGTAGCATATGCAGCGGTCCTTTACTAAGGAAGGCACAAGTAACAATGTGATTTTAGTCGATTTACTTCTGCTATTTAATAGCTCTCGAAAGTGTGTAACTCTTAATCAAATCATAATTTATATTTCATGCCCATACAATAAATATAAATACAGTATTAGAGATGATGACAATTTTTCTCTGTTCGTCAGGCAGATTATTAAACACATCTATATTTTTTTTTGCGTAATCAATTAAATACGGCGATAGTATAGAGTTGGAATGTCACATGACGTTCCACCTTTGTACATTTTCTACATATTTATGATGCAGCGAACCTCCACTCTTCAACTTAAATGTCTATTATCTTATACTCCTATTTTTCAGTTATCCGAGTGTTTTTTTTTTTTTTTTGCCCAGGCGTCATCCCTATACCAACCAGCAAACAGTAACTTTTATTACTCGCCACATCAGGCAATTGTGCTTAATTTACGAGTACGGTAAATAAATAAATAAATGGTCCACGCTCGGCGCTCATCACGGTAGGTATATAATATACTTTTCGACCGCCGTAACAAACAGGTACTTACATTTAGCAAAAAACGCAGATAACGCAAGGTTGGCGTCTGTATCATTAGGAGAATCATTGAAATAAGCAAAAGGCAGACTAAGATGTTCGATAAAGTAGTCTAAATCTGATGCATTCATATTATCTTCCACTGAAAGGTATTTTGAAGGTATTTTTTCTCCACCATATTCTACTTGGGCATCCTGGTGATTACCTAATGCTTCTAAAACTACAATAAAGGTAAGATACACAAACCTCGACATTATTTTAGGCACACAATAAAATTCAATTAAAGCAATGATGTTACTGAAATCTGATACAGCTACGTTTGCAATAATGCGATTTGTTTGACTTTAATTAGTTTTTCAATTGAATCTTACTGCCTGCAATTATTTTCGTAGATCTTTAGTGATAATGAAAAACTGTCATGACTTTAATATCTTTTAGGTGCCTATACTTTTGAAAGTGAAAAACTCAGCCGTTGAAACTGAAAATCTGGTAGAGCAGTCGCCCAGCAAACGACTCGTTTCAAGTTCGAATTGTGGCGTAACTATAGGGTGGCAAGTCGGCAAAATGACATGGGCCCCCGGCTGGAAGGGGCCCCTGGTCTCAGGAGACGCTTTACTCCTGCCATTTATTATTATTACACAATTAGTAAAAAAAAATAGAATATCCGATAAATTTGCCACGGGCTTCAAACGGTATAGTGACGCCACTGGTTCGAATACCGTTCCTAACAACAGAGTCAATTTTTCTTTCAAGACGATCCCTATAAAGTTTATAGAATGAAGATGGTCGAAATATATAGTCAGAAAGTTATGGTAGTAGTAGTGTATAAAATATATGAGTCAATTTGTTTGTCTTGCGAGTTATTACTCAAAAATAAGTAGTTTATTACGCTCAATTCATCATCTTTTGTTATCTATTTGCTAGGAGCAATGATAGTTCATTCAGTATAAATTTCATTTTAAATTTCTATACATTTTATGAATCATAAAAATATAAATGTCATACTTATTATATCTATTTGTTACACCAATGCAAGAGATTAAAGTTTTTAATATACTAGTTAGTTTTTAATTGACAAACGATACCGCATGTGCAAGTGTTCTAGCTTAGCTGCCTTCTCTATGCTCTACTTGAAACATCGGTTGATATAGACCATTTTTGTCTTTCCAGACTTATGTAAGGTATATAGGTATTGCAAAATATTCAAAACATTATTTTCACATTCATTATAAATATAAATATTTACTTAGTGAAACTTCAGTAATCAGCACTTCTCTTGCTAAAAGAGCTAACGTAATAAGTAAACCTTCCCCGGGAAAAACGGGAAACAAGACAGCACAAAGAGAGGAGTGAAAATATTATAAGAAGCAAATACATAAATTATAAGTCAGTTAATATAAGTGGATTTTTTTAGATTTTTTAGTTAGCATTATGAATATAAAATTGATCTAATACAATATCCATATTAAAATAGGGTTGTTATTGACAGCAAACGTGGTAGAGAGATCAGGGAGAGCTATTTATATTCTATCCACTCTATAAAATAGCACAGTTAATTCTTTGATTGATAACAATTTAACGAAGTGATGGAAAGGTGGTGTTTAATAAAGATGAACCAGTTAATCGATAAAATGCTGTTACATAATAATACTAACTTAAAATTATTATAACCTCTGAGGCAACTTATTAAAGTTCACATTAATATTTTCTCTCAAAGTTCTAAGTTCTTTCTTCTTGTTCTCAAAGTTCATAACCTAATAACAGTGGCAAAAATTGCTCATTATTCCTACTTCAAAACCAAGTAAATCGTATTGTCTGAAAATTCACAATGAATGAAAATACTTTATTTCCCCGCCTTTTTACTTGCGACTTTTTTTATATTACCACTAAAATTAAAAAACGCGACTATTATTATTTATTTCTAACTATGAATAAAAAAATAATATTGTATGAGCAATTACAAGGTTAGTTTGAAGTTGAGTCCGAAAGATATCGAATGTAGTTTTTGTTGATCTAACGGTTGCCATTAGTCTTTTCGTTATTTAACAATAGCTTGCTTGACTACATATTCATATTACTAATCTGTGTTATCCACACATCACTAGTCTCGACTCGACGGCTCACCGTCCGTCACTGACGAACTGTGTTGATAAAGTGAATTTATTATTGTAGAGCAGCTGTAATTTACTCGTAGTTGTGTGATTAGAACATTTTGTGTAGTTAATTCTTACAAAAATGGAAATCTCATTTAAAGGCAAAAGAATTTTAGTAACCGGCGCAGGACAAGGTTAGTGTTACTACATAAAATAACGTAAATAAATGTACTCTACTAATAACAATTTTAAATACGGCGATATATTGTCTTTATCAAATTAGGTATAGGTCGTGGTATAGCTATAGAATTATGGCGTGCTGGAGCAAACATCGTCGCCCTGTCCCGAACACGTTCGCACTTGGAGAGCTTACAAAGTGAATATCCTTCTATTGAGATTGTGAGTGTAGATATCGGTGATTGGGCGCAAACAAGACAATTAGTAGAATCTCTAGGACAGTTTGATGCGTTGGTGAACAATGCTGCTGTGGCTTGTTGTGAACCCTTTCTTCAATCCACATCTGCTAACTTTAACAGGTTTGTGAAAACATGATTCATCAAATATTTCTTTATTGTTTTAGATGTAATAATTGTTTCCAAAAGATAATTCAGCGATATAATTTTTTAAACACTTCTTTTCAGAACCTTTGATGTAAATGTTAAAGCAGTTCTCAATATAAGCCAAGTAGTTGCAAAAAAAATGGTAGAAAACAACATACATGGAACAATTGTCAACATATCCTCTCAAGCTTCTAAGGTAATTTTTAGGATGATATTTTAATTTGGTAAATATAAAATATCACAAGGAAACATCCCAAAATTCGATATTCAAATTTGCAGGCTGCATTGCAAGATCATGCTATATACAGTGCTTCAAAAGCAGCTCTTGATGCTTTGACCCGGTCTATGGCCCTGGAACTTGGACCACATGGTATTAGAGTGAATTCTGTAAATCCAACAGTAATTATGACAGAAATGGCAAAAGTTGGATGGTCAGACCCAGTGAAAGCTAAAGAAATGTTATCTAAAATTCCCCTTAGGAGGTAAGTGTTCGTTTTCATATTTTCAATTAAAGATAAACAGTTACAACTTAACCAAACAATGTTACATCTGCACAATAACTACTTTTCACAAGAGTGATATACCATTTGATTGATATAACATTACTTAATTAAATATTTAATAATCAAAATTCAATAAGTATGGCAGTTAAACCTTCGGAAGAATAAGAAACTGATTTGACTGTTACTGTCTGATACATTTTTATTCTATGGATAGGTTGGGGTATCCAGTAATAATCTATTTCCATCCAATGACTTTGGTATCCAGTCTATCTGGCCGCCAATTACCTTCTATTCATATGTCTGGTAAACAGTTGCCAGTTCCATCACTTTATTACTATTACTTTTTTACCTTTCAGTTCAGAATGAAAAAAAATCAAAAATGTCAATGGTTTCAAAAAGTCAGGTACCCCAAAATATCCTGTAATTCCCTGAAATGTCCAATCTACTATAAACATTTTGCAATTGCTGCAACATTTTTGGATGTTCTGAACTGAAAGGTATTTTGGATACATTTCTTTATTATATTTGATCAATTTTGCATTCACAATGCCATGTTTTCTTATTATTTTTTTGGTTATTTTCAGGTTTGGTGAAGTTTCTGAAGTAGTTAATGCTGTAGTATTCCTTCTCAGTGAAAAATCAAGCATGATTAATGGTGTTGAACTTCCAATTGATGGTGGTTTTCTTGCTACATAATAAAATCTTAATTTATATTGTTTTTGGGACTTTACATGTTTTTTTTTTTCATTTTAATATCTATAAAAACATTAAATACCAAAGAGAAGTCCATTTGATATTTTTTATTATATTTCTGTGCCATTGCAAATGATATTGATTGTTAAGCTTCATTGTGACTATTCCTATAATTTTACAGTGGGTACAATTATGTACAATAAGTGTTAAATAAAAATATTCCTATATTATTAACTATTGTTTTATTTTACTTATCTTATGTCATGACATTGTTATAGTATCTGCTCATGTTTTAAGTGAACCGTTAGTCCTAAATGGCATCATATTTTAAAAAAACCTGACAAGAGTAAGTACTAAGGGATCCATTAGAATTGCCACTATTTTTCCTGTAAAATTTCCTTAAATGTGATTATTTCTTTTTCGAGAAGATGTAAAAAAGAACTAGTATTTCATTGAAAAAAAAAGCGCTGGAGAAGTGCTTATCTGACATGCCAACCGAGAGTTCCATACAAATAATTTTCATTTTTTAGCAGGGTCATCCTAAATTACAGAGTTGCTTAACGTGGACTTTTATCATCTATTTTTGTCAATCTCTGATTTTTTGCTGATAATAAGGCCGTTCTAACATGCAAACCGCAATAAAAACACATTGAGATAAAACTTTATAATTAGGTACGTTTTCAAACCAAACGACAACTATAAATATGGTGTTAACTCGAGACGATAAGTTATCATCACTTAATCGTGAGTGCACGAGGCATGTTTATAACTTCTTAATGAGACTAAACGTTTGGTATTTTTATTTTCTATTTATATTTTTGGCTTCGTATGTTAGAAAATTAACGTTAATAGACAGGGATAATAATTACATGTACAATTATTTTGACAAAAGCCTGTCTAAAGTAATTTAATATAGTTCTTTTTAGTTATTTTCATAGTGTAATGACGTATGGTATATTGTTGTGGGGTTCTGCGGCTAGCATTCAGGATATTTTTATTCTACAAAAGAGAGCTGTCCGTGCTATATATAAATATTTAAAGAAATAAATATTCTGACTGTTGCCTCTCAATACATCTATGAGAATATTATGTACACAAGAAAACATTACGATTCCTTCATAAAAAAAGTAGTGTTCATAATCTTAACACAAGAAATAAAAATAAACTTGCCTTTCCAAGCTTCAGACTTCAAAAAACCAGAGGATCATTTCTAAAGTTCCACAAAATGTAATTGACCTACCCATAAATAAATTTCAAATTCATGTTAAGAATATACTTATGAGTAAAGGCTATTATAAAGTTGATGATTATTTTAAGGATCGCAATGCATGGAATTGATAGCCTTTGCTTTGTTCTATAAAGACTAATTATATGTTCAACCTATGTCCTACAGACTGAAAGTTGTATTTATTATTGTGATAATACATATTATTTTAGTAATGACATGATTTATGTAAATGTCATTACTTATGATAAAAAGCTGGTAAGTTTCTTTCGCTTGTTCTTCTTGTCAGCTAAAAGACGTCCTGAACAAGTGGTAGGGGAAAAAAAATTTTTTTGGACGATTCAAAAGTGCTTGTAATAGCCTACTTGAATAAAGATATTTTCATTTCATTTCATTTCAGTCCCTATTTTTTGCTGTCAGTTACCAAGCTGTATCTCATGATCCGTGGAAGTTAGACAGTTGTTTTCACAGATGATGTATTTATGTTGCCGCTTCAACAAGAAATATAAAAACCTGAATAAATTAAATAAAGGGGACTCCCATACAACAAACGTGTTTTTTTTGGCTTGTTTCCGACACGGAACCCTACATGCGCAAGTCCTGCTTCCACTTGTCCGTTCTTTTAATTAATGAAAGGATATTCTTAATGAAAAATGCTTGAAAAATTCACTTGGTCCCTGGCACTATGAGATTGGACTCGAACTCACAACCTTTCGCAATCCAGGCGACTGCTCTAACCACTGAGCTACCCAGGACCTGAGAGGACTGTTGAATTTTTCAAGCAGTTGTTACTTTTCGCTACTACAGAGCGTATTTTTTAATAAAGTAATTTTCATATAGGTTGGGGTCTTTAAACAAACATTTCGATATAAAATCTTTCAGCTTTTTTGTACGGATCATGCCAAGCTCAAACGCGATAATATTTTCAACTTCAATTTGTTATTATTTTACGCTATCACAAATTGACGTAAACTATTCTTTATCGGTCACTACCTACTGGAAGATATGTGGAGTCGGACGACTATGATTAACTAGTGCAAACGAAATATTGATTTGATTTGTTTGCATCATAATAATTAGTTGTATACTTGCCCAAAACAAGAGGAAAAGACCATGGACAAATATTTTAAAGGAAAAAGAATACTTGTTACGGGTGGATGTCAAGGTAATGCTGTTTCTCGCTTTTTAAAATTAATTTTACGTTCTTAATTATAATAGAAACATGAAACCTTCTTGTTGTGTATATAATAAATGTGTTTTCTATTTTACAGGTATCGGTGAAGGGTTAGTAATAGAGCTATGGAAACATGGGGCAAATGTTGTTACAATATCAAACCAACCGGAAAATCTTAAAAAACTAAAGCAACAATATCCATCTATAGAAGTGGCAGCTGTAGATCTTCGGAACTGGGAACAAACGAGAGAAATAGTAGACAGCTTAGGCGTATTCGATGGACTAGTAAATAACGCAGGCGTGGCCATTATCGAGCCCTTTATGGAAGCCACACCAAGCAGCTTTGATGAGTATGAAATAAACCATTATTATTATGAATTTAACTTCAAGTGTAAAATATACTAAATCAAGTGTAAAGTGTATCATTATACCTAATATCCGATTACAAATTACAGGACTATATCAGTAAACGTCAAAGCCATCCTGAATGTTAGTCAAATTGTTGCAAAAAAGATGATAGAGAATAAAATTAAAGGAGCCATTGTAAACGTATCTTCTCAGGCTTCAAAGGTAAGTAATACTTAGGTACTATAAAACGACTCACTCAATACCCGCACGTATCACTTTGTGTGTTGGTATTTTTCCAATTCTAAGTCACAATCACAAGATACAAGTCTCTACTAAGGTCACCTTCGTTATGTTGTTGGTCTGTTCGTCAGGAAGGTAATTAAAGTATATTAAACACGTATTTTATTTTTATTTTTTGTGTAATCAATAAATGTCGTCGATACATTGAGTTAATCACATCGTTACAAAAAAATGTTGCATGATGTCACACCTTTGTACTTTTTATATATAGTTGTGAGGTAGCGAGCCCCCACTCCTCATTATCTGATTAATTTCTTGTTAAATTTAACAAAAAAATACGTATCTAATATTTTTTCTATTATCTGACAGACGGGCCTATTAGGACTTTTTTTACCTAGGTATCATCTCCATTGTACAATACTAGCGTTCTCCCGCGACTTTGCCCGTGTTAATTGGTTAGTTGACTGTTTTGGGAAAAGTATTTTAAATATATATATGATCATATTTATTTTTGACATTTTACTCGCAACAAGCTGTTTACGTTTAGTTTAATAAAATGAACGCAAGCGTTTCGGTTCCTGTAATCCACTGATTCGAATGGCAAGTTAAATTTGCAGAAATAAAAAACAAACCAGTCATGGACAGTATAAGAATAAATTTGTCATTATGAGGCTATATTTTGAATACTGTAACTGTTTATAAATGCAGCCAGGGTCAATTATACTACAAAACTAATGGAGAATAATTATCTTTATTAAAATTATTAATTGCTTACTGTATTACAAATATTTTTGTGAAAAACTGAAGCCCTATTAGAACACTAGTGATGGACAGGCATCACCCAGTGCATAACACCCAGTCATGGACGTTCCCGCACATGGACATCCAATCATGGACATGGTTTTAGTCTGCTTTTATTGAAACTTGTACTAGGCTGGTCAAGCCGTCGATACTCTTCTATTTCATGGTTATCATCAAGGAACTCTTCATCACATTCACGAAGAAGAAGAACTCGATGTAACTTGTCTCTGCTTTACTATTTTCTTTGTAGATTTCTTACGGTTTTTTGTTTTCTCTATATTAATTATCTTCTTTTGAATAGCTTGTTCTTTTAACACCTTTTTTTCTGCCCTAGCCTTTATTCGCTTCTCATTTACTTCTTGCTTTTGTCTTTTCTCATTTTCTTTTTTTTTTCATGTAGGCCATCCATGCATTGCTTGTAACAGCTGACGGTAAGCGTTCTTTTATTTCAGGTTCTGGCCAATACAAGGCACGTTTGAATGGAGATGGAATAATGAAGTTCTTTTGAAAGGTTGATGTTGATGGGTTAATAGGTGCTTGAACATTTTTAGCGGGTGTGATATAGTCTGCTGGGATGGGATTATTTGCGATATGAGAAGTTGAGGTAGTTTTACTCGGTGTCATGTGAGCTGGCTGCTAGGTTATAGCGTCGGATGATCTGTTAGTGCTCAAGTTTTGTTGGCTTGGTTGAAAAACATTTTGTTGTGGAAGTTCGTGCGGTATTTCAAGTTCTAGTGGTAATTTTTCTCGAGGGTCGAGGTCCTCAACAATAACCTGTTTTGTTTCATTAGTGCCTTCTGATCGTGGACTTGTAATTGACTGTTCTATTTGCGAATTGTAATTTTGAATCAAACCTTTTTTATCTGTTAGCTTTACAACTTCTGGGAGTTCATGCGGTGTTTCATGTTCTTGAGGGGTAGATTCTTCATCACAAACCTGTCTTGGTTCATTAGTAGCTTCTGATTCTGGATGTGAAATTGACTTTTCAATTTGTGTATTGGAATTCGATATAATATTTCTTTTATCTATACGTGTTCCAACTGATGAATTGTCTAAAAGTGTGTTTTTATTTTTTGACCATAAAACGTACAATGATAAATCTTCATTAGGCAGTAGATTTTCGACATCAGTCTTTTGCGACCAGTACATTTGGTTAAATAATATCAATTTCTCTTTCGAAAATATGTTTATGATTTCTGATTCCAAAGTTTTTACGGAATTTGCCTGTTCTGTTACGCTATTATTTTTAGCTGGAATACGTTTTTCAGCACTAATTTTGGACATGTCGACATACTCAGGGCCAAAAGGAAAAAGACCGCTTTTTCGGAATCCATTTTTCATTCCATCATGAACATGCCATTTTTTAAATTCAATAATCATCACCGTGTAACGTAAAATAACAATCGTTAGGCTTTTTTATGAACATTATCAAACATTACTTAAATATTTAGCAATAATAAATTAAAAATTTCCCAAATTGTTCATGACTGGTACGTAACACTTTTATTTATCCAATGATGAACATTGTTGTATTTGTAAATTACTATAACCATTTTGTAATATATCAAGCTGTAGGCTATTCTTAAATATACTATTAAATCACAAAACAATGACTCATTCAACATAATAACTTTACCGGCTTTAAAATTAATTAATTTTTAAACTTACCTGCGCCACGATGCTTACTAAAAGATCGGGTATTTTTTGAAATCGTCGGAGCCACGTATTCGTATTCAGTTTATTTTGTTAATATGGCCGACACCTGTCAAAAAAAAATTTCTGGACTCCGGATTGGATAAACACATTCATATAGTGTTACCATTGAAAAAAAAAATAGTCGGATTTTGTAGTTATTGGCGATTTAATGGTAATATGTTCATGATTGGTGCACTGTCCATGACCGGGTCGATTACCTTAATTTAAAAAAAATCACATAATTACTACTTACATATTAATTACATTTACATACCATTTTTAACATATTTAAACTGTTAAACAGCCGTATAAATAATAGCTTATGTCACCCGCGTATGTTCTAGCTTCCCGTAGGTGACATAATTTTTGAAAGAGGTCTAGTAATTTTGAAACTTATGCAATGCAAGCAAACAACTAAACAAATCTTTCATCTTTATAAAATAAGCATATTCATCTTGTTTTATTCAAAATAGCATATCACATTTGCTAATAATTTTGTGGTATATATTTTATTTAAGTAATTTATTAATATCAGCATCAGCATCCGATTATATAAGAAAACCCGCATCAGCAACAATCCAGGTTCGAATCCTTATTCACGGCTGTGAGAAGCACATCGTAAGGGGTGTTAGGAGCCTAGGGCGCTACTATCAACTTGCTCCGCCGCCAAGTACAGCACTGCTTTATCGATACCCAATGCCACAAGATACCGCATCATTACAAAGTTCCGTAAAATATGTGTAATACTGCGACATACCTATACAAATGTTGATAGTGACGTTTGAATAACATCACTGTAGTTACCAATACAGTAACGTAGTTATTCAAAATGCTTAAATAAAAGAAACCTTATTTTGATAACGTTAAGTATGAAATATGTCTTTAATTACCATCACGCCGAATCCCTTGCGGGGTAGGCGGAAGGGACCGAACGCCAAATCTCACGGTTCTTACATCTTTCACCTCATGTTTCATTAGCCTTTTAATCATTTACCTGACATAGTTTTGTGGTGTAATTTAATAAATTAGATCATAATTTTCATTCTTTCAACTTACGATTCGCAAAACATTTAAGATTGTATTTACATTTTACAGGCAGCTCTTAAAGATCATGTAGTGTATTGTGCATCCAAAGGAGCAGTAGATTCGATGACACAAGTTATGGCTTTAGAGTTGGGACCACACGGAATTCGAGTCAATACAGTGAATCCTACGGTAATCATGACCGCAATGGGCCGCAAAGTATGGTCGGAGCAGTCTAAGCGTGAAGAAATGATCTCTAAAATTCCGTTACGAAGGTAATGTTGAAACACTCTCACACAGCAGTTCTTGTCATAGAATATTAACTCTCAACTGAAAGTTATTTGTAGTCGTCCTTTCCTGTTTTCAGAGGGACGTTTCCCTACTCTTATATGATATCTAATTTTAATTGAGAAACTATATGGACATGTTGTTTTTCGTAGATTTGGAGAAGTACACGAGGTCGTCAATGCTATAATGTTCCTTCTAAGTGATGGTGCTAGTATGATTTCTGGAGTTAAATTGCCAATCGATGGAGGATTTCTTGCCACATAAAGAGATATTATAAAATGCGAATAAATACCTAGTTTTATTTTACTCAGTTTATTGTGCCAAAGGAATTAATACATACTGGACATAGGAAACAATGCAATGCAAGCATAACAATTTATAAATATATATATATATATATATTTAATGCATATTATGCTAAGATAGCCTAGCATAGATATATGTTAAAAGAGAAAAGATACCTCGGTATGGTAAACTAAATGTAACACAAATGCTATTATTAGAACAATAACTCTCCCTACAATGTTTACACAGATTACTCTCACTCGGGAGGGAACAAACACATTACAAAACTTACTTAAATTTAGAATTTACGTTATCCAATAAAAGTCAACGATGTTTTACTAAATCCCTTATATTCATTCTACACCTACTAGCATGCTTCGTTCCCTCCGCCACTATGAGTAAAATGTCGATATCGAAAGGGACGTATCAAACTGTAGTTATGCAACATGCAACTACACATGAATTGGCTTAATAAAAAAAGGTATCCACAGTTTTATAACAGCAAATAATCTGAGTGACATTAAATCTACAACAATTATGTATTTATTCTCCTTTTACCTAGGATATTGTAAAAAACAGTGTTGTTTTATCTAAGTACCTTACAATTATTATATACAAAATTAAGTTCATAAAGTCTTTCGTCGATTAGAGCATACACTTATCTTAGGAGCAAGCCACGACCATTCCACGCCGGAAGCGTTTTTGAGATACATATTTGGGACACTCAACACATCGAACACGAACACAATTGCTGGTTCTCCACTCACACCGATGTGTCCGTAGGAAACTTGAACATTACACACCCCGAACGATTGGTCATAAAAATCACTATAACAAACTTAGCTTAACCTCATAAGAATTAGTAATACAATCATACGAAAAAAAACTTTCTTTTAATATTACAGATTCATTAGTTGAATCAACCAAAATAATTTATAAAAATCGGCAAATATCTGTTATTTGTCTCTGATGATTGATTTCAAATGCTATGATATACCCTGTCGATTATACAACTTATTGATTTATTAGTTAAAAGTAGTACAATGCAGTCATACAATAAAACAAGCAGAGAATGTACTAAAATATAATAAATTTAACAAACATATATAATATGCAGTTTTTTTTTATAATCACTCGATATGGATATTATTTATTTTGAATGAAATTAAATAAACAAAACATAAAACTTTTATGCTTAATCGTGACAACGAGATGATTTTAATATTTTATAGTTCTTAGTAATCCTTAAAATATTTATACAAAATTGAACCTAATTCTCAGTCATATTGAGATGATGTACTTGAATAAATTATATTTTAGACTTTACAATGGTCACTTAATACGAATATTTGTATAGTGTGTTATAAACACAAACATAAGTAATTATGTATACAAAGAAAAAAAAAACTTGCCTCACAGAATAATAAAAATAAGAACCGATTTTCGCAATTACAATAATTATAACTTTCGTGTAACATTGGAATATGGAAATGGTAACCAATTGGTTTGTTGACATATTATGTATAATATTAATTAGAAAAGTGACATTTTGGTCAATAACACGAGATCATAGTAAACACAGAAATGTACAAAAGGAAAGACCTTAATGAAATCAATCAATATTATTTATCTTCATACAGAAGCAAATATATTACGTTAACATTCCCTATTCCATACTTTTAGCTAGATTTTTAGATGGGTATCCCTTAAATTATCTGGTTTAAGTAGCAAACTTATCTAGTTAAAACTATGGCAGTGGCTGAATATAAAAATTTGTTAATGCCGCTTGTAAAATTGGCAAAACTTTCAATGCAAGCATGAATATTTACTTCTTAAAGACATATTTTGAGAAATCAATGCATTAATCATCATGGAAGACAAAACATTTAATAGAGACCAAGCTCACTTTTGCGGACGAGGAAAGAAGACTTAGAAATGAAATCATTATTGCACAAAACGTTAACTAGGTATCCCAGAACCTGACAAACATAATAATCATCAGTTGTCACAGTCAATTCGAACGCACATCGCCGTTATCGGTAATATCGAAATTACACTCGTCCCCTGATAAATCTAACTTTTCACTAGCTAGTTTATTATGTACACCCAAATGTAAAGTCGAAAAATCGTCGAACGTATAACACTCATACTTTAATGAGAATCAAAAAGGATTAAATTGTGTCTAATCCCAGACAGTAGTTAGATTAGCCAGAGGACGGCAGCGTCACTCCAACGCCGTTAGTACACCGACGCAATAGCATGGGAATGCGCAACATTAGAGAAATTTTATAATCTTATCAGTTATATAGCAATGTTCCGCATGTGCTTTGTCTCACTATATTATTAGCATGCTGAAATAGCTGCGTCCTTGTCAGTACAGTTTCGCAGTCAAAACGTCTTTACACAGACGCACATGTTCCGCATTCAGGGTTGCCACCCGTCGTGGTTTTACGCCGCAAACTTGTTAAATACAATTTCATATCATTTTGTTCTCAAAAGGTGACAACCTTGTAACCCTGTCGGTGTACTAACGGTGTAAATCTAAATACAACTGAGCATAAAGTACAACGGATGCACGGTCACATCGATCGAACGTCGAGAACGTACCGGGCCGCGGCGCGCTCGCGGCGTCATCGTCGCTTACGCTAAATATTAAATAATTTACAATACATGAACGTTACGCGAATGCATATAAAAGTTTCTTAGTTTTACAGTAGTCCCGGGCGGGCGGGGGGAGACGCGCGCATGGTGGCGGGGGCGAGGTCGGGGGCGGGGGCGGGGCGCGCGGCCGCCTCACCGCCACTCGGAGAGGGCCGCCAACGCCCCTCCCGCGGGCCCCGCCCCGCCCGTCACGCCTCCCGCCCCGCCCGCGCTCACGCTCACCCCCGCGCTCGCGACCGCTCCCGCCACCGCGCCCGCTGCTGCAACACAAACTCACAATTAGTCATCGCAACACACACTTTTCTTAATTGAGAATTATATACAATCATACTTAAGCCATCTTAAACTTCATTTAAACGGGTTTGCGTTTCTAATTTTACTTTTTAGTGATTTGGTAGCAGTTTGATAAAACTAGGACTTTTTGCCAATTGAAACATAGAGAACTTAAGTTATCCTATTAATATTATAAATGTGAAAGTTTCTTTGTTTGGATGTTTGAAATCTCTCCGAAACTAATGAACGGATTTTGATGAAATTTGGTATACAGATAGGGTATTAGCTGACTTAGATAATAGGATACTTTTATCCCACGAAACATTTCCCTAGGAACCACGTGGGCGAAGCCGCTGGCGAAAGCTAGTTAAAATTTACAGTATAGATTTTGTACTTTTCTCAATTCGGAAACCGACTTTAGATTTTCAGTTGAGTTAGCGAATATGTCTTCCTTATAGATTAGTTGTTCTTAACCTATTAGGCCTCAGGGACCCTTTTTATATTCCCATGACACCACGGACTACTTACAAAAGCCATAATGCAACGGTTTAATATGCTATACCTAAATCTAGATAAATGAAGTATATTATACGTCTTATGAATCTATAAATAAATAAAATAAAATATATAGTTTTTTTTAATAAAGTATTTTTTTTAATAAGGTAGTTAGTATTATGAGGCTTCACGGACCACTTAGGAAGCTACCACGTGTCTGAGGACACAATGGTAGGGAAGCAGTGCTATAAGATGGAGCCAAATAGGGAGAATGGACCACGCGGGCCCGGTATGTGTATTAATTGCATAGCAGAAAGCTCCAGATGATTTTTCCAAAAATAGGCATTTATGTTAAGGTATTATAATATATGTGGTATTGTAATATGATAGCTGATTTAAACTACAAAGTCTGGAATAATTATTTGAACTCACCATTATCCTGCTCCTGATTTTGGTCATGGCGTCTCAGCTCACTACCTCCGGACTGATAATTGCCACGTTGCCCACCTGCAAACAGATAATAATCATATATGTATATTTAAAAAATCAACCAATTAATGACAAATCAGTGAAGGATTTATATTGATAATTATGTAATTATATGAGAACATTTTTTTACACAAAATACATATATTAATTATGAATAAATAAAATAGACTCATACCAAATTTAAGCATATTCCAGTCAAACACATAGTCATAAGTGAATCCTTGTCTGTGGAAGAGAGTACGAAATAGCTGACGGAGATGTGCATAATCTGGACGTTCCTCAAAACGCAGACGTCGACAGTACTTTAGGTACCGTTGGAACTCAATGGGATGGTTCTAGAAAATAAGGGAGTTATTTATAGCAAATACACTTATCGTCGACAACAACAAAAACAAAAGCTATAAAACTACGTCATTATGTACAGTCAACAGCACAACAGATTACACAAATCTGTCATATTCCACATAATTTTAAACCTTAATATATAAATGTGCGTAGCGTTCAAAATCTGTTAAGAAAAATTTTTGAAATTAACCTGTGTGCATAGGAGAATTAAGTTTGTTATGTATTGTTCTATTGTTAACACTAAATGTTTATGAAGATTATTTAATAAAATTTGAAAACAGAAATCAAAACCAACAATGCTTACTTTACAAAGCTCGTCAAATGGTGTCGACAATTTCTTTTCAGATATTCTCTCGTATTTCTGACGTTTTGTTACTGCCTTGAGCCCCTGCCAAGGTAGACTACCACGATTGAAGTACATTAAAACATAGCCCAAAGACTCCAAGTCATCACGACGAGATTGTTCAATGCCTAAATGTGTATTCACTGAAGCATATCTCGCTGTACCTGAAATTATATAACATTTGATGCTGTAGTGAAACTAACTAAGATATGAAAAACTGAACTAAGATATGAAAAACTGAATTAATATGTTTTAAAAGATATTTGATTTGTTTAACTCTGTTGAGAAGTTATAGATCTAAAAATCTGATTATTTTCATTTATCGAATGCCTTTAGTGACATTCCCATTTTACAGATACTATAATTTTAATAAGTTCTCAACAACAACAACAGTATTTTGTTTTTAACTACACCCTCTGTTGCTATAATCTGCAAGAATTAAGCATGAACATCAATGTGTGTTGTTGTATCTATCTATACATTATAGAACCACTTGTAAGGAAAACAGGTAGATAAAGTGTAGTGTCAAAAACAAAAAAAAAGACACAAAAAAATGAATAGTTTATATTTTACTAAATGGAAGGGATTTATTTTTATAAAAAACCTGAGCATGTAAATTTTGTAATGGAAATCAAAGATTTAAAGATAAAACATTTTTTTTTTTTTTCAATTTAATCCAGACCAAGAATAAAATTCAAATTTTTTGAAAGAGTATTTTTTTGTTTAGTTTTGTCAATAATCAAGTAAAGTAATTAAATAATTACACAATATTATTTACCAGTCAAATTTTTGTTTTCTCTGTATGAGATATGTTGTAGTGTCCGAGGGTCTTTGTACTTCTTTGCTAAGCCAAAATCTATAATATACACTAAATTTCCTTTTTTACCTAGACCCATAAGGAAGTTATCTGGTTTGATATCTCTGGAAGAATAAAATTAAGCATAATTACTATAAATGTTTAGTACAGTATAAATTCAAGCTTTGTTGTATAAAAATAATGTATATGAATGTGTTAAAATCATAATTCTGTTGGACAGATATTATTGCCTACACCTACAACCTGCAACAAAACAAATGTTACCATTTTATGTAGAAAATGTATGTAATACCTATGGATAAAGTTTTTGTAATGGATGTCCTGGATTCTACTAATAAGTTGGTCAGCAAGGAGCAGCACAGTTTTAAGAGAGAAACGACGAGAGCAGAAGTTAAACAAATCTTCCAAGGAAGGGCCAAGCAGTTCCATTACCATAACATTGTAGTCTCCCTCAGAACCACACCATTTTATTTCAGGAATACCAACTGTGAATAATAATAACAGAAAATATAAACTAAGGGTTTAGTCTTATTGTCTAGAATTAAATTAACTTTTATTTCAAAAACAACTTTGTTTATCGAGTTCAGGTGTGCCTTTAATATATCAGCGTACTTTGCTTTCATTATGGATTCTCATAAATAGAGAACAGTATTACATATTCCATAATGGAAAGTTCCTCTAAACAGAATTTAAAATATATTCAGAAACACAGTCATAGAATACATTTACAATTCGAAAATTATAAGCCTAAGATGATGATGATGAGTAATATAATAATATCATTCAAGGAGTCTGTAATTAAAATCATATTAAACTACTTCAATAATTATTTAAATTATTTAAATATATAAAATTTACTAAGTGATTATTATTATTAATCAGTAATACTTAACATATTTAGATACTTATAAACAGTTTTCTATTTCAAATTGATATTTAGCTGTTGAATAAAAATATGTTTACAATATTCAAAGGTTGCTGACACACAGTCACAGCGATACTGAATTTCCATTATATACTAATTGAATTGATGAATAACAAGTTTTTTGATGGTAGTATAAGGATTGTACTACAATTTATTTACCTAAAAATAGTCAAAACGGGAATAATAAAGCCATAAACAATAACTCAAACAAAAAAATATTAACTTACCACCTCCTTTCATAACTTTGTAAAATTTACTCTCTATGTGTAATTGTGGGTGTCTTGTTTTTATACATTCTAATTTTATAGCTACTTCTTCCCTGGTCACAATATTAGTTCCTGAAAATAAAAAGGACATGAAATAATAACTACCTACTCAATATTCTAATAAATAATTTTTTTATGGAACGCGTTATAGCAATGAAACCTATAGTCTAAAGATAAGTAAAGAAAAAAAACAACCTAAACCGTAAGAACTTTTTTCTTGTCAAAACATGATAATGCAAGTAACGAAAACCCTCAAAAAATCCATTACCATTGATCACATGTTTTCAATAATCACAATATTTATACAATATTTCATTTACTATGCATGATAGCAGTGGTTTAGTAAGGCATGTCATTATTTATAAAGTATTAGTCACAAAACGAAATAGCTATTTCGACACAAAAAAGTTGCAGCTGGCCTACAACAATAATTGTCTTTCTTTGTTTACAATCATTTCTCAACATACTCACCCAAATAAATGTCTCCAAAGGATCCCGAGCCTATTTTGCGACCTAGTCGGTATTTATTACCGACACGTAGCTCCATTTTGCTATTTTGTAGAGGACGAAATCACATTAATATCACCGACCACCGAATCATTACAGGACGGCCATATTGCGATAGACGCAAATCTCTACTTGGGCGAACTGTGTAATTTGGGTGGATATTGTATTAAATATGTACTATTAATTAATTTTCCTATCAATACCCTACAACTGAAAAACACAAATTTATTATCATATGGGAAAATGATTGTGAAACTTGATAATCAAAACTAGCTACAAACGCACTTGAACACGAGGATCGAGAATTCTTTCGAAGATCGTTCAATTGCGATAGGGATATTTCTATTTTATGATGGCAACTCAAGAAATGTCAAACTTCCAAAGATCGATCGAACTTGGACAAAACCTGCCGATTGCTAGATGCATGGTGAAATCGAGTTGCATTATTTTTATTTCGTATTTGTTGATAAAAATGGGAAACAAATATGAGAGTCAAAACGATCAGAGCTAAGTTACTTCGGCCAAGAAATTAGCGTGAATCGCAGTATTTTTTTTTGTTTTTCAACCTATAATTATTTCGCGTTATTAGTCTGCGGGCTCGACACAACTCAGTTATTTAATAAAATAGTAAGAAAGACTGTCGAAGAAAACCTTGAAAAAAAACAAAGCGCTTTAATAAAAGTAGACTTTACTCTATATTCAGTTTTTGTACCTAATACCTATCTTAAATCTTATTGTATCTCATATTAAGTTAAATAAATTAAAATCACGTGTTAGAGTTTAAAATCGGGACATTTACTACCTTGGTCACCTTTGTCCGTACAAAATACGTAAAATCACTTTATCAATTCTATAATATACATAAGATTATTACACAACTATATCAAATTAAGGTTGTATTATAACTTGGCCTACTTTTTGCCGTTTTGAAAATTGAGACGCATTATTTTACCCTTATTTGAGATTAATATTATAAAATGGTATTATGCAGAGATGATGTCTGTCTCGTATTTTTTCATGTGGTAACTTATAATTATATTTTAAAAAGTAAAAAATATAATACTGTTATTTTTTTGTTTTTCTGCAAAGGAATGAAGTATATGCAGCTTAATTATCGGAAATAATAATATTTCACATCTGTTTTTATTCTAGTTTTAGAATCAAACGAATAAATACAAAAATATTAGAAGTAGGTATTTTGTACCAAAATAACAAAAATACTGTTGACATTTTGTTTAATAAATAAGTGTATAAAATGTATATACTTTATTTCACATTTAATATCCATAATTTGGATCTATATTGATATTTTTTAAATATATCTGTTTTTGCACTAAAGACCATTATGACTCGACCTGCTATGTGGATCCTTGCAAAAAACATCATCAAATGCGCCGTGAGATGACAGACCTTACAAGGTCTGTCATTTAATGAAAATTGCATCTGGTTTAATTGATTGTCTTGAATTAGTATGTCAAATTTTTCTTAGAATCCCAACAAAGCTTTTATATATCCCTCCCGTTTCTACCAATTATAGACAGAATGTACATCTCTGGCAAGCTTTCAACAACTTTAATGACCTACGAAGACGGGCAAACTTGGATCTGTTTGACACTAGCGAAATCTCGGCTAGACGTGTTTTAAGCAGTATGTTCTTCAACGATCTGTGAATGCCATGCTATTAATTACGGATTTTATCATAGCTGCGGACTTGGTATGCCTGCGTGCGTGATCAATATATAGTTGTAATACATATTTCAAGTAGTGTGTTACTAATGGTGAGGACTTTTAATTGGCTTTTTGTTGATATTACAGTTTTATAAGATTTTTCATTGTATAGCTGTAAGTCTTCCAACAATTTAATACATAAATTAAAAAAACCTTTTGACGTTTAGGTGCAGTAAACAGCACATCAGACTTACCAACAATACTTGAAAAAGTAGATTACATCGCGATATTAAGTTATATATTTTTATTCAATGAAAATCTATATATAGATTATCATTGAATAAAAAAAAACTTGGACTTTTTGAAAATTTTATTACAAAAAAAGGTAAAAAAGCCGCGTAAAAAAGAAACCTTTTTCTTTTGACGGGGGGAAATGGGTTTCCTACGTATACTCGCTTCACTCAGCGCGAGCTTCACGAGTTATGTAGCCACCGATGTCCCTCACGACCCAGACGACGCATGATAACGGCCCTGAGTGCGGCCATATTGATCGATCGCGATCGCCCGAGTTTCGGCCCACCCCTTTTTACGGGGCGGATCCCACCACGGATTGGGGAAAAGGCTCAGGAACATACGAATCTAATTCCCCAGACAAGGGGCGTGCAATGCCTAGTAAGCGCGCAAACTCGAAGACCCTGTCAAAGTAAGAAATACACAACTGAGCATTTCCCTCACTAGCCCGTCTCATAGAGGGATTCATGAGGTTTCCCCTCATAAATCCCTCCGTGTTTATGCATCTGCCGTATAATCCGGAACTTGCACATTCAGATTTCCACCTGCTTCAGAATTCTTTCGGCAGTGTCAGGTTAACATTACACAAAGACTGCCAAAACCACTTGTCGCGGTTTTTTGATTAGGAGCCCCAAAATTTCTATAACGATAGGATCCTGTCCCAACCTGCATGATGGCACCTATATACTTTAGTTAAATGTAAATAAACTTTATTAAACAACGTTTTGAATTTTGATATAAAATGCGAAGAAACTTTTTCGCCAACCTATTAGATACATACGTAGGCGGGATGATAAATAGCTAGCCCAACCCATATTTTGTATTATAACGATATAAAATCTCCTTAGTATTTTACTTATTGGTTCATTAGCTGCCAGTGTTCCAAATTTCAAATCGATCGTATAGTTTTTCTTTTAAATATTGACATTTCAAAAAGCATTCTTTTGTTTTTTTCTGCAAAATGGATAAAATTGAGCTACGAGCTGTGATAAAGTTTTTGCATTTAAAAGGATAAAAGGTGGAGAGATTTTTTCGGAGATGAAGGATGTTTTGGGAGAAAATGCTCCTTCATATGCGACCATAAAAAATTGGGTGGCTGAATTTAAACGTGGCCGTACCAGCACCCAAGATGAACATCGTCCAGGACGTCCAAAAAGTGCCACTACTCCAGAAATTGTGATCAAAATTCATGATGCAGTTTTAGCTGACCGAAGATTGAAACTTTCCGAGATAGCTGATACTGTAGGCATCTCTAAAGAACAAGCGCATTACATTTTGACTCAAGAATTATGCATGAAAAAATTATCCGCACGGTGGGTGCCGCGATTGCTTACAGTTAACCAAAAACGCGTTCGTATGCAAGTTTCACAAGAATGTTTGAACCGCTTTAAAAGCAATACAAATGATTTTCTGCGACGGTTTGTTACTACAGACGAGACTTTGGTTCACCTCTATATACCTGAATCAAAAATTCAGTCTAAACAATGGACGGAAAAAGGATCCCAGGCTTTAAAGAAAGCAAAAGCCGTGAAATCAGCGGGGAAAGTCATGGCGTCAGTATTTTGGGATTCGAAGGGTATATTGATGATTGATTACCTTCCAAAAGGACAAAAAATAAATGGCGAATATTATGCTGATCTACTGGATAAATTACAAGTGTGTATTCGAGAAAAAAAAAACGCGGCCTGGCTAAAAAAAAAAAATCTTTCATCAGGATAATGCGCGTGTTCACACGTGCATCACTGCGATGACGAAATTCAAAGAATTAAATTATGATTTGCTACCATAGCCAGTTAATTCTCCTGATCTAGCACCATCAGACTTTCATCTATTCCATAAGCTCAAAAAATTTTTAGGTAGACAAAGATTTGAAAATAATAGCGAGGTGATGTCTGCCGTGGACAGTTATTTAGAAGGGCTTGAAGAAAATCACTTCAGGGATGGCATCAAGGCTTTAGAGCATAGATGGATGAAGTGCATAGCGCTTCAAGGAGACTATGTCAAAAAATAAATATACTTATAACACACTAATTCAAGATTTTCTATGCTAGGCTATTTATTTATCATCCCGCCCTCGTATCAAATATTTGATTTTGAATTAAAAATGTGTTTACGAAGGAAATGCCTTGAAGTTTCGTTTTTTGTTTTTGAACTATTTCTACAGTTTATAAAAGTACATTCAGGCTTTATTCGTCCCGTTTCCCACTGAATTTTATGCAATTTATTGTTCTTAGCGTGTGTCCTTCGTGGAGTGATAGCCGTACTAATAGTATCAAAAGTGAAATTGTGTGTTTATGTCGTATCTTCCTTTTTTAGGGTTGTCTTATCTTCCTTTTTTGTGAGTTGTAATTTGGCATGAGTATACACGTTAATTACGTCGACAAAGTGGTAAAGTAAAATTTAAACGTTACGGCAGTAGTACATATATTTATCGAAATTAAAAGGAAAACTATTATACATAAGTTGGCTTTACAAGATAACGGCTTATAGTCGATCAATTATATTGAACTAGAAAATTTCGAACAACTCTATATATATCTTTTCCTTTTTTTAGTGAATTTGGCACGGAACCTTTCGTACGCAAGTCAGACTTGCACTTGTCCGTTTTGTATTTTAATCAAAGGGTTTAATACATTGTTGCACCTCTCTTGATTTTCTCAATAGAAATATAAATAGCCTAACCCATTCACCCAAAACCGTGATAATTATATAGTATAATCGTAGTAAAATCATGTTAAAGTTAAGGTTCGCAGTTATATCTTCGGACCTTAGCCCGCGAGCACATTAAATAAAAAGAATTAAAGAAAGAATCTTGTTTTTTTAGAGATTTTCGCCTGCACTCTAATAACTAGACGAGCGTGAAAGTGTTGGTTGTTTATTATTTTTTATTAATTATTTAATAAGATATTTGTTTTTATTTTGAACCAACGGTGCATGCGCCCGCCTAACTCTCTAGCCTTGATTCTAGCCATAGGATACATCTCAGAGATGTCTTGATGGCATTTAGTTTCATGTTACTAATTTGACATATCTTACAGTGGAAAAATTTAATTACTTACTGACTTAGTCACTCGGTAACACTCCTATTAAAATCATAATCATAATTGTTTATCGTTAGTTCATAGATACTAAAGTGAATGGTTAGGCTGTCGCATCCCATGGGTACCATCAGCTAACTCTCTAGCCATAGGATACGAGAGCTAAGCGATGTCGTGTTGATGATGTTAAATAACTTGATATTAAGTATATAAAAAGACAATATTAAAACAAATACATTTATTTCCATGTTTATCTCAATTAAAGTTACAGAAGATTATTAGAAAAGTAGGTAGGTATATACATAAAATATCATGCTCTTTGTAGGTATATAAACATCAATATAATCAAAGCTCGCATCGCGAGTAGACGTATTTTGGATACCTGTATAATAATAATTAATTCCTAAATTTAAAAGTTTAATATCAATTATGATAATAGGAGTGCATAAAACAAGAGAACTTTTAAATAGAAGAGGAGGATAGATCGAATTTGGCGTGTGCGGGGCGAAGAGGGTGTCGTGTGTGTACCTGCGTCGCACAACAAGTAAGAAAAAGATAGTTGTCTGCTCATCCAATTCAAATGTCTACGGACAA